CAAATTAAAGGGCCGCTGTACCCGTGAACATAGGCCAAACCCACGGCTCAAATACCTGTTTTTACCGCCCACCCCCGGTTGCCCCTGTGAACAGGCCCTTCCCTTCTCAACTTCAATTTCATTCACACTTTACAGATGTGCAGGCCTTTTTGTTCTCCGGCCCTGGCTGGTGGGCGCCACATTACTGGGGGATGGGGGTGTTTGCCCCAAATTAGGCTGTGCCCCTTTCTGGGATTTCCTATGACAGAGAAAGCAGGCGATGGCTGGGATCACAAATGTAAACAAAGAGGCAGGACAGGAAGTCACAATATTCACTTCCTCTACTGGGCTCTGACTGATGACATCATCTAATGCACAGGAAGGAAGTATTAAAAGCAGGCCTCTGGCCTGGCTGCTTGTTTACATGTCACAGCACTGAGCTGTCTGTTGCTGTGCTGACAGGAGGTCTGGATTGGACACGGCCTAACTAAGGGGGTCAAATAGCTCAACTCATCCGGGGGTCTGACTGGCCTGGGATCATTCTGTCAAGGTATGAAAATATTTCCCCATTCTGCACCCCGAATTCTGTATACCGTGCTGTACATACCGCACCCCTCATACCGTGCCCCTCATTCCCTATACCGCACCCCTCATTGCGTACACCGTGCTGTGCGTTCCCTATGCCGCACCCCTCATTGCGTACACCGTGCTGTACATTCCCTATACCGCACCCCTCATTCTGTACATTCCCTATACTGCACCCCTCATTCTGTACATTCCCTATACTGCACCCCTCATTCTGTACATTCCCTATACTGCACCCCTCATTCCGTATACTGTGCTGTACATTCCCTATACTGCACCCCTCATTCCGTAAACATTCTGCGCATTCCCTATACGCACCCCTCATTGCGTACACCGTGCTGCGCATTCCCTATGCCGCACCCCTCATTCTGTAAACTGTGCTGCGCATTCCCTATGCCGCACCCCTCATTGCGTACACCGTGCTGCGCATTCCCTATGTCGCACCCCTCATTGCGTACACCGTGCTGCGCGCATTCCCTATGCCGCACCCCTCATTGCGTACACCGTGCCGCGCATTCCCTATGCCGCACCCCTCATTGCGTACACCGTGCTGCGCATTCCCTATGCCGCACCCCTCATTGCGTACACCGTGCTGCGCATTCCCTATGCCGCACCCCTCATTGCGTACACCGTGCTGCGCATTCCCTATGCCGCACCCCTCATTGCGTACACCGTGCTGCGCATTCCCTATGCACCGCACCCCTCATTGCGTACACCGTGCTGCGCATTCCCTATGCCGCACCCCTCATTGCGTACACCGTGCTGCGCATTCCCTATGCCGCACCCCTCATTGCGTACACCGTGCTGCGCATTCCCTATGCCGCACCCCTCATTGCGTACACCGTGCTGCGCATTCCCTATGCCGCACCCCTCATTGCGTACACCGTGCTGCGCATTCCCTATGCCGCACCCCTCATTGCGTACACCGTGCTGCGCATTCCCTATGCCGCACCCCTCATTGCGTACAACCGTGCTTCCCTATGCGCATTTGCGCACCCTATGCCGTACCCCTCATTGCGTACACCGTGCTGCGCATTCCCTATGCCGCACCACCTTTCCAACGTACATGAATCTGTCGCAGATTCAGCCATTTGTTGCACTACCATGGAACAGATCTCTAAAGAAGATCTGACACTTTTTGGGCTCACACTTTCAGCAGCCCTTGCCTCCCCTCTGAAAAGCATTCCACGGTGAATTGCTTTTCCGAGCGCAGTTGCCATGCGGCTCGAATATCCTGAATGGCTACATCATGGGTTATCACTAAGGCTTTTTAGCTGAAACACGTCAACCTATTTGTATTTTTTTTCTGTAATTTTTTTTGTGGTCGTTTTCAGTAAAGAGGAAGATTTTAGCGCAGTGGCGGTCATGCGGATCTTTTTCCCTACTAAGGCCCTGAGTAGCCCTCACCATCGCGATTGTGGCCCAGGCCCGTTCACTTGAAGGGGGTATAACTGTTTTCACAGCATGTACAACCCCCTAAAGGGCAAGAAAACCATGGCTCAACTGCCTACCTTTACAGCTGCATGTGTGAGCGAACTCTTTACGGATTCCACGGTGATTCGCCGGTGTGACGCGACCCCGAGGAACCCTGATATTAGGACCGTAAACCATACATAATATCGCGCTGGGTCACCCCATTGTGTTTATTGACCACAGTTCTGAATGGCTTTCAGTCGTGTGAACGTTTCTTGAGGCAATAAAGTTTATTAACAAAAAAAAATTATATTTTTCCCTCCATTGTGTGGCAGTCCAAGACTCGCCCTCCTCACAGACTAGGTGTTGTAGGGATTGGCAGGAATAGGGAACAGTCCCATGGTATTATGGGGAGCTTTTTTTTTCCTAGCTTTATTCACAGGGACAAACGTACAAATCTCTTATCTGCATATCAGTAGCAGCATCTTTATTGTTAGCACTTTATTTAGGACATCTTTTATCATACACTCTTCTGACTGTACACATTGAAAATTGGGCCCCTTTCACGGCCATTCTCAAGGCTCTGGGGGCCCAAACATGGCCGCCGCGCCGCCATCTCCACCTTCGCCCGGCGCGCAGCTAGTTAACCACCCCCTCGCGCGCGCTGATTGGCTGCTCCCCTTTGGGGCGGGAACCGCCGTAGCTCCGGCAACGCTTTCCCTTGTTGCCGTGGCTACTCGGGCTCTGGAATCCATCCCGTCCGGCCAATGAGCCGGGAAGCCGGGCCCGTGACGTCACGGGCGGGGAGTCCAATGGGGAGGAAGCTGGGTGCGCTGTTGCTAGGAGGGATTGGAAGGCTGGAGTGAATGTTGTATTTAATAAATATACATGTGTGAGGGGAGCCCATCTCCCATATGAGGAGCCTGAGCTATGGCTGAGGGGGGAAGGAGATGGTCAGGGGAGCTGTGAGCCCCCACGGCTGGCCATTTTCTTTCCTCTCTCCAGTGTACATGACATGTTAGTAATGGCTTCCCCCTCATGCAGTGAACAGCCGTGACCTGATAGCCCCGGGTGGGGTGTGTTGTGTGAGGAGGGGAGGGGGCCGCCATATGTTCCTGGAGCCCACTGCTTTCCCACATACTGGCCCGGCCTGCACTCCTCGCATTGTCTCCAGGCCTGACAGGAAAATACAAACCCCCCCTGAAATCAGGAGGCCGGATTTACCACAGCCTCAGACAGGCCGCAACTGCCCCAGTCCCCCCCGCACATTCGCTGGCTGCTGGATTCAGACCTGTCAAATGTGACCAGCGAGTGTCGTAGATGCCCACATCAATGCACATTGGCTGCAATGTCCCCGAACATCTATAAACGCACCAATTGTCGTCAGCAATTATCCTACACAACCAGATCGGATGCACATTCGCTGCCAATGTTCCTCGTGACTATAAACGGGCTGAATGTGTACACCCGGAGTCCTCTGACTATAAACGTGTTCTACACCCGGATCGGATGTACATTCGCCGCCAATGTTCCTCGTGACTATAAAACTGGCTGAATGCGACTAGTCAATGTATACACCCAGATTTGATGCACATTCGCTGCCAATGTTGCTAGTCACTATAAACTGTCTGACCAGTCCTTGTATACACTGAGATCTGATGTACATTCGCTGCCAATGTTCTTTGTGACTATAAACAGGCTGAATGCAACCAGTCCTTGACATGTACATTCACTGCCAATGTTCCTCGTGACTGAATGTGACCAGTCCTTGTATACACCCAGATCGGATGCACATTTGCTGCCAATGTTCCGTTCCTTGTGACTATAAACAGGCTGGAATGTGACCAGTCCTTGTTATACGCCTAGATCGGATGCACATTTGCTGCCAATGTTCCGTTCCTTGTGACTATAAACAGGCTGGATGTGACCAGTCCTTGTATACGCCCAGATCGATGCACATTTGCTGCCAATGTTCTTTGACTATAGACCTTGTGAATGTGACTAGTCTTCGACATGTACACCCAGATCTTATGTACAGTATATTTGCTGCCATTGTTCTTCGTGACTATAAACAGGCTGAATGTGACTAGTCCTTGACGTATACACCCAGATCTGATGTACATTCGCTGCCAATGTTCCTAGTCACTATAAACTGGTTGAATGTAATGAATCCCTGATGTATACACCCAGATCGGATGTACATTTGCTGCTAATGTTCCTAGTGACTATAAACTGGCTGAATGCGACCTGTCCTTGTGGTATACACCCAGGTCCAGTGCACATTTGCTGCCAATGTTCCTAGTCACTATAAACTGGCTGAATGTGAGTAGTCCTCAATGTATACACCCAGATCTGATGCACATTTGCTGCCAATGTTCCTAGTTGCTATAAACTGGCTGAATGTGAGTAGTCCTTGATGTATACACCAGGGGTGGACTGACGACTCATGGGGCCCCCGGGCAATAGGGGATCATGGGGCCCCTGTGTCCTTGCCCAAAGCCTATGAAAAAGGTACCAGGGGCATCTCATGGGGCCCCCTACTGACCCCGGGCCCTCGGGCAGTGACCGAGTTTTCAAATTGTCAGTGCGCCCCTGGTATACACCCAGATCTGATGTACATTTGCTGCCAATATTCTTAGTCGCTATAAACTGACTGACTAGTCCTCAACGTATACACCCAGATCAGATGCGCATTCGCTGCCAATGTTCCTTGTGACTATAAGCTGCCTGAATGTGACTAGTCCTCAACGTATACACCCAGATCAGATGCGCATTCACTGCCAATGTTCCTTGTGACTATAAACTGAATGCGAGCAGTCCTCCTTGTATAACGGAGATCGGATGCACATTTGCTGCCAATGTTCAGATGAATGTGAAAAGTAAATCTAGACGCCCTGATTCAATGGATCTCCACTGACAATGTCCCCGACGTCTGGTCACTCTCAGGTGGTGATCTATGAACATTGTCCACAACAGATCTGATGCACCAGCACATGGTTAGAAGGAAAGAGCGAGATGGGATCGGGGTGGACTGACCATCTGGAAACTCGGGCACTGCCCGAGGGCCCGGGGTCAGTAGGGGGCCCCCTATGAGATGCCCCTGGTACCTTTTCTCATAGGCTTTTTTGAGTTTGGGCAAGGACACGGGCCCCATGATCCCCTATTGCCCGGGGGCCCCATGAGTTGTCAGTCCGCCCCTGGATGGGATGACATTGCGCTTCACTAGAAGATCATTTTCCAGGTGGATTTGGACACTGGATGGACTTTGTTTGTTTTGACACAAAGTAATGATTTTTGTTTCCTTTTTGATACATTTTGTAGCGTGACATGTTTGGTTCTGATTGTATACATTGTATCTGCACATCTTTGAAGGTCTTGTGTTTGGAGCGCTGGGCTTATGTTGGGTGATATTTATTATCGCTGAATAGAATTATTGCACATTTTTGGGTTGATTGTTGCACATCCGCTCGGGTGTATTGGATACACACTTTTATATTGTCTGCATTTGATTAGATCCCAGTGTGGAGAGGGCTGAATTATTCATTACTGACTATAAACTGAACGTGACCGGGTCCTCGTCGTTTACACCCAGATCCAACTCACATTTGCTGCCAATGTTCCTAGTCACTATATACTGAATGTGACCAGTCCTCGTCGTATACACCCAGATCCAAATCACATTTGCTGCCAATGTTCCTAGTCACTATACACTGTCCTGAACGTGACCAGTCTCATATACACCAAGATCTGATGCACATTTGCTGCCAATGTTCCTAGTCACTATACACTGTCTGAATGTGACCAGTCCTTGTCGTATACACCCAGATCTGATGCACATTTGCTGCCAATGTTCCTAGTCACTATACACTGTCTGAATGTGACCACTCTTCATCATACACACAGATCTGATGCACATTCGCTGCCAGTGCACCAAGGGACTATAAACTGTCTGAACGTGACCATTCCTGTCGTAACACCCAGATCCAAATCACATTTGCTGCCAATGTTCCTAGTCGCTCACTGTTCTGAACGTGACCAGTCCTCATATACACCCAGATCTGATGCACATTTGCTGCCAATGTTCCTAGTCACTATACACTGTCTGAATGTGACCAGTCCTTGTCGTATACACCCAGATCTGATGCACATTTGCTGCCAATGTTCCTAGTCACTATATACTGTCTGAACGTGACCAGTCCTCCTCGTATACACCCAGATCCAAAGCACGTTTGCTGCCAATGTTCCTAGTCACTATACACTGAGCGTGACCAGTCCTTGTCGTATACACCCAGATCCAACTCACATTTGCTGCCAATGTTCCTGGTCACTAGACACTATCTGAATGTGACCAGTCTTCGTCATATGATATTGCAAAGCGCTGAGCAAACTGTTTGCGCTATATAAATTCTGTTTAATAATAATAATACACCAAGATCTGATGCACATTCGCTGCCAATGCACCTAGGAACTAAACTGTCCGAACGTGACCATTCTTCATCTTATACACCCAAATCTGATGCACATTCGCTGCCAATGCACCTAGGGACTATAAACCGACTATTGACACCTTTGTCATATACACCCAGATCTGATGCACATTCGCTGCCAATGCACCTAGGGACTATAAACCGACTGAACTTGACCAGTCTTTGTCATATACACCCAGATCTGATGCACATTCGCTGCCAATGCACCTAGGGACTATAAACTGGCTGAACTTGACCAGTCTTTGTCATATATACCCAGATCTGATGCACATTCGCTGCAAAGTTTATGTTGTCTGTAAAATCACCAATTGTGATCAATTGTCCTATGTACCCAGATCCAATGCACATTTGCTGCCAGTTTTCCTAGTGACCATAAAGTGGCTGAACGTGACCAGCTCTCGTTGTTTACTCCCAGATCCAATGGACATTGTGTTCCCATCACCTAGAAATCATGTGAACATGACCAGCAAATGTAGCATACGCAAAGATCTGATGCACATTCACTGACAACACCTCCATAAATATGATGAATTTGTTTATATCCTGATTCAGTGGGCAACCATTAGCAGTGCCGTTGGTGGAATGTGACATGTGAATGTCCTATACAGCCAGATCCAAAGCACATTCGCTGGCTATGTCCTGCCATAAAATTGTTCAGGAGCATGGCCTGGGATTGTCATATACCCAGATCAATGCACATTTGCTAGCAATGTACTGACATAAATTATCCTTTAACATGGCCTAGGATTGTCATATGCTCAGATCTGATGCACATTTGCTGGCAATGCTCCCAGAATCTATAAATCGTCTGAATGTCATATACACCTAGGTCCTATAAACTCACTGAACATGATTTGTTAATGTTGTATACTCCCTGATCCAAAGCACAACCACTGGCAACATCCTGGATGTCTCCTGGCTAAATATGACCTGCGAATGTCAGACACCCAAATCAGGTGCACATTCGCCAGCATGAATGATGCCTATAAAGGTGCTGCAAATGTCCAGCGACTGTTTTATCCACCCTGATTAAAACATTCGCTGACAACATCCCTGGTATCTGTTTCCTCTTATACCAAATTGTATTGTAACTGTTAGGTCTACCTTTGTTTTGTAAAGCGCTGAGCAAACTGTTGGTGCAATATAAATCCTGTATAATCATCTTTAAACTGGATAAACGAGACAAGCAAATGTGGTATACACCCAGATATAATGCACATTGGCAGAGTCTATAAACCGGTTAAATATAAAAATAAAGAATGTTGCATACACCCAGATGATGCAATCACTGGCAGGGGCGGACTGACCATTTGGAAACTTGGGCACTGCCTGGGGTCAGTAGGGGGCCCCATGAGATGCCCTTGGTACCTTTTTTTCATAGGCTTTTTTGAGTTTGGGCCTGGACACAGGAGCCCCATGATCCCCTATTGCCCGGGGGCCCCATGAGTTGTTAGTCTGCCCCTGTTCACTGGCAATGTCTTTGGCACATATAAACTGTATGAATGTGACTAGCGTCTGTGGCATTCACACAGATCCAATACACTCTCAATCAGGGGTGGACTGACAAGTCATGAGGCCCCTGGCAATAGGAAATCATGGGGCCCCTTTGTCCTTGCCCACACTCAAACCACACCCAAAAAGTCTATGAAAGGTACCAGGGGCATCTCATGGGGCCCCCTACTGACCCCGGGCCCTTGGGTAGTACCTGGGTGCCCCATATGGTCAGTCCGCCCATGCTGTCAATGGTAACATTAGCAGTGTCTATCAATTGATTGAATGTGGCCAGGGCACGCCAAATACACCTAGGCTCCTATGCACATTTGCTGCCGACGTTCCCAGAATCTCTAAACCAGCATGACCAGCAAATACCATTTACACCCAGATCTGATCCATGCACATTCGCCAGCAATGTTTCCACCTTCTGTAAATTGTATGAGCGCGGCCAGGGAATGTCGTATATTCTGATGCATGTTTGCTGGCATCGTCCTCAGAGTCCATAAACTGGCTGAATGTGACCAGCGACTGTCACCGCCGTCTGTCATCAATGTGCCATTGCCAAGGTAAGCCTTTAGGCTAGGTTTACTCAACAGCAATCCCTAGTGCCCCATTGAAAAGTGATCTGTGACAATTGCGGCGTCAGACCCCCTGCCCTTCTTGCCAAACTGGGACCTTCTTGCCAAACTCGTGACCGAAGGACTAGACCAATCTAAAATCGCGATGTCACGTGCATAACAATGCCACGCCCAGCTGCACCCTGCACAGATTTTCCAGCTAATGGACCACAAGCTGTGTGCTTGCAGCCTGAGCACGATTGTTACTGGGTCAGGTTAATTACACAATTAACCCTTCACACTGCCACCTCCTTGTACAGAGAGGAAACTCTGCAATAACACTAGGATGGTTGATCGTCTGTATACCACTGTCACCACAGACAGGTTATACAGAGGGTTAAACACATAGTAGCGCTCTTAAGCGGCAGGAATTCATAAGTTGCATTAAAGAGCTTTAGAAACAGTTCAACACTTTCAGAAAGTAAGCTTTATTACTAAAAGGTAAAAAGGGTGCAATAAAAATATTTAGAGAAAAAAGATGTAGCATATATATAATAGAACAATAACACAGCAAAGATAACAGGAATCTAGAGGGTTAAAGTACTTGCCAGTCCGCCTGGGTTTAAGCAGCTTCAAGTGTCATAAGTATTTCTTGTCTCTACTACTAGTTTCGATGTTAAACGCAGGACACTCTTTCTCACACACCCAACTCTAAGCATAACAGCCCTTTTTTCTAGAATCTTAGCAGGGTGTCTTTTGAGTAGTAACCAATGGTCTCCTTTTAGGGAGGTGAAGGTGGAGCCAGAAATTATGACTAGAAGCTTTCATAGCTGCTATTATGATCCATAACTTTTCCTAGGTACATAATTCCACCCGCAGGTAGATTAATATGCAGACACATCTGCGGAATGGTTAGATATGAAATATACACTTGAATGGTTCAAGAGATATACTTTTCTGCTTTTCTATGTATGCCGGCTAAGCGGCATAACATACCAGGAGAATGCCCTCAAACTGAGCTCCATGTGTAGGTAATTATGTCCTACGTGAAGATATCAACTTGTATGAAAAGTGAGTTTTTAAAAGTGAGTCTGTTTTTACGACCCCTTGGAAGGTCTTTTGAAGTTCAGTGAGGGACTGGGTTTATACTTTTACGATGTGCCAGATTGCACAGTTTCTTAGCACGGCCCCAGCTCCCTTGGGGGTTTTATAGTTCGGCGCTTCCTGCTGTGCTTTGGCTGCCTGTGACCCTGCCAACACACACCAACCACATGTCACTGTGGATGAACAGAGGGAGGGGGGATGATCAAAGAGGGGGAGAAGGATCTACAAGATGGAGGGTTGGAGCAAAAATGGTTGAATCGCGTCCATCTGTGTGTACGCTTGCTACATGATCCACTTTCGCTGTGGAGATTCTACAGGCCTTCAGGAGGCCAAACAGATTTTACTTTGAAGCGCCATACTGCAAATGCAAGCTCTGCTTTGGCTTCTGGCTGCAGTGAGGACCCATTGACCCACCGTTTGCTAAACTCTGTCTACAGCGTTAAGTTTCTGCTGCGGCGAGTGGCCACCATATTTCTTTGGACATATGTAGTCAGGATGGGTGGTAAAAACACGGCTGAGGCTTTAGTATTTCCAAAGGAAGAGTATCCAATGGAAATCTATCAAGAGGCCAAAAACACATTCTTTCTGTGCTGAATAAA